TATAGACAAAATAATTATATAATAATAACAAATGTCGAAACTGATAAATGTAATTAAATGTCAAAGGAAATGTAATCAAGTAGATTTTAAAGGTAAACAATACATAACAATAAAAATCAATTAAATGTGTTATTATGTTAATTACGTGTTGGTACGATATATGAATATCAGTGAAACTTTTTAGAGTAAAAGGAGTTAAAGGAGACTTGAACACAACTGCTATACACAGGACAAAAGCAATGCAGCACAAGCTATGAAACTCAAAATCAACATGAAAGCGTGAATAACTGACTAAAATTATATAGCATATAATACAAGCAAGGAGCAGTAACGAGCAGCCCCGATAAAATAAACTAACTTCTAAACATAAAAGGTAAGTATTATAATTAGTAATACACAATAATATTTTATTACATTTAAACTTGATTTATTTGAAAATTGAATTAATATATCTCATATGAAAAGTCACGAATAGATTATTTAAGTGATTAGAATAACAATGAAACATACATAGCATAAAGCAATAATGTATAGACATCAACTAAATAAACAACATTTATATTCATAATGCAATCAATAATAAACCATAACAAAATATTTTTACATTTAAATGACAAACACCCACACATTAAATCAATAAATTCATTTGAATAATTTAATACAATAATTAGAAAATTTATAGAAAATATATAAAACAATTTAAAAACTGAACATTCTATTTCAGGCCTGAGATGATCCAACGGCTTCAGGGCCAAAAACTCTGATGAAATCCTTCTGAGTACGCAGACGATGACGAGGAACACCTTGAGCAGCATGCTTACGGGAATATACCTTTCCGTCCTTGGTCCAGACGAAGCGCCATCCTGACCGCTCACCAATTTCACGCGCCTGACGAAATAGTAGACGGTTCGTCCGCGTCAGCCGCTCGTTAATGTAAAATCGACGCGGTGGGCCAGGGAGATCTAGACCTTCAGTGGTAGCTCCACGACGCACACGGGCCGCGTGAAGCAGTTCATCTCGGACGGCACGCTGTACTAAGCGAACAACGATGGGCCGAGGACGGGTCGTAGCTCCGCCCCCACTAACGTCCAGCGACCGACCAACACGAACAGCGCTCACCACATCAAGCTGTTCCAGTTGGACTCCGATTTTCTTCGCCAAGGATATCATGATATGCTGTAGACCCTCACCTTTTTGCTCCAGTATGCATGTAATTTCTATGTCGTTCATGAGTAGCTCTTGGTCACGCTCATTCAACTCTGCCTTTAAAGCGTCAATAGTGCAAGACAGCGTCGCCTCACTACTGTTTGGCTCTAGATGGTGACATTCTATCTTGTCCATGCGTGAGGTCAACTGGTTTAATCTGCCCTCACAAAGATCAACTCGCGTCACAATGGCGCCTAATGTTTCGTTAAACGCTTGTACCTCACGACGTCTTTCCTGTAATTCCTTACGAAACAAGCGCATTTCTTCAATAAGCAATTGCATATGCCATTGCTTGCTATCGGTATTTTCAGAGGAAGAAACCGGCACACACTCCTCGGACGGGCTCAGCACCACACCACCTCGACGCCGCGAAACTTTGTCGCCATGGCCATGAATAGGTGTATTGCTGTTACCTGCTTTCGGCTCCTTACTTTTGCATGCCTCACACTTCCAATTAGCTCTATGCTGTCCGATAAGTGTGCTCCGAAAACGCTGTTCCGACACATTAGCACAAATTAAGTCAAAATGTTCTGAACAGACACAGCATCGCAGGTATTGTCAAAAAAAATCTCGTGGGTAGTCAAAAAAGAAGGTTGATAAATAATTGCTCTCAAGTTTTAAATCTTAATTTTTTACATTATTGCAATTAACAAGTGATATATGATCTCTATTACTTATTAACACTGTAACCCACCTGCTCTAGTGTTATCTCCTTTAAATTCCACAAGATCACAAAATGGAAGAAGTTCAGCGGTCCCTTTCGCAGATGATGGAACTTTTTGATAACAGGATGACCCACTTTGAGGCTGAACTGAAAAAAGCACCAACCACATCAACTGCAAGCTCACCATCTGGATTGGCGCAATAAACTCCATTAAGAGGTGTCATAGAATGGGGCGGTCCTCTCTTTCAGTCAACAAACCTCGGCCTATTCTTGTCAAGTTCCAAGATGTCACTATGCGAGACAGGATATGGTTCCAAAAATCTAGTTTGAGAGCTTCTGGAGTTACCATTTCGGAGATTCTGACTAGAACACGTCATAACATTTTTATGACGGTGCGAGAAAAGCTCGGAATTGATAGATGCTGGACTAGAGAGGGACACATTTTCGTTCTTGGTCACGACAACACTCGACATCGCATCACTGACCTAGCAGATCTCCAAGTCATCGAATCAGCGGTGCCTAAGACGGTTGTTGCTTCAAAGATTGCACCGAAAGCAAAGCGGACTGCTGTCGCGAAGAAATAGACGTTTGGGTTCGTCAATACTAATTTTTAACGCTTTATGCTGTTTTTGCTAATATTATCCTGCTTTGCTTATACTTTAGGCTTTTGCTTGTTTTGTTTAGACTTTTAGTGATATGTAAATTGTCAATTTAACACACAGTTGTCAACAAGGTTGAGTCTATTAATAATATTTTTGACGCAAAGGAATCCTAGCTTATACGTCCTAGTTTTCTGTATTATTAGTTAGCATAATTTTGTGGATTATTCAAATGGTAATTTTAATTTTTTTTGTTTTTTTTTTTGTTATTGTTAGTAGTAGTTTTTTTTTAAGTTAGTATCTAATTAGCTAGTAGAAATTACAATCTTTAACACTTAGCGGGTGGGCATTGGCATAGCAAAGTTGTTATTTTGTTTATTTAAGTTAGTTTATTCATATATACATACTTATTATATATTTATATACATTTAAATATATATTTGTTTTATTTTATTTTATTTATTTACTTTTTTTTATATTTTTTTTTTATTTTAATTTAATTTTTTTTTAATTTCTTTTTTTTATATTCAATTTTTCATATTAATTTGGATGTCTCTTCTCAATAATAGTAGTGAATCTGAAAGTTTTGCTTCTCTCAGTTGTTCTGATAATGAGGATAGCTTCGTCAGTATTCCTAACCTCGCTGATTCTCTTGTGTCTTGTTTTTCCGATGTTCCCAATAACTTCAATGTTGTCCACATAAATGCACAAAGCATTCCGGCTCATTTCTCAGATATGCTGACGAACCTCGACTGTAAGGATATTCATGCCATACTTGTCTCCGAATCATGGCTTAAACCATGTCTTCCTCCTACTTCTTATTCTTTGCCCGGTTTCAATCTCATCAGGAATGATCGTGCATCTGGCGATGGCGGTGGTGTCGCTATTTACTTGCGTTCTCATATTCCCTTTTCAATTGTTGACGTTTCACCACAGCCTCCGCAAACGAATGCCGGTGAGCACCTTTTCTTAGAAGTAAAACTGCGGCACACAGTACTTCTCCTTGGTGTGTTCTATTCCCGGTCATCGCGTATAAACTATTTTTCTTCCTTTGAGAACAAACTCGAGCAACTTGCCCCCAGTTACAGTCATATAATTGTCATGGGTGACTTTAACACCTGCCTTTTAAAATCTGATTCCCGGTCGGCATCACTTCGCAGCGTTTTACAATCTTGCAATTTGTTAACTCTCCCCTCAAACGCCACTCATAGATTTCCTAACTGCTCCCTTTCACTTCTAGATCTTATTATTGTCTCTACCCCAGAACACGTTGCACGCCATGGACAATTTTCAGCTGATAATTTCTCATACCATGATTTAATATTCCTCTCGTATAAAGTACGTCCTCCGAAATTTAAACCTAAAGTCCTGTTGCAGCGTAATTTTAGTGGTTTGAATCTCCATAAACTCCGTGAGGACGCCATCAAGTTGGATTGGGCTCAACTATTTGACAGCGGGTCCGTCGATGATATGGTTGATATTCTTGCTTCAAATCTTATTCGTTTATATGATGTCCATGCACCGATTCGAGCAGTTAAAATGAGACATCATCCTTCACCGTGGCTTACTGAAGATATCAAACAACTCTCTGCCAAGAAAGCTGCTGCCAAAGCCAAATATAAGCATCATCCTTCTACCTCAAACTGGGAAAAATATGTCAATATTCGAAATCACTGCAATAAGGTGTGTAGAACTGCTCAACGCCAATTTATTCACAAATCCGTTGATAATGGTGACCCAGCCAAAGTCTGGAGATTTCTCAGATCTATGGGGATTGGTAAACAACGTCTAGAATCTTCTAATTTAGATATAAATCTGATGAACCAATATTTTTCTTCTTCTCATTACTTTGATCCGGCCATTAAGTCGAATACGTTAAATGATCTTTCATCGCTTCCAAGCCCCGACTATTTACCATTCATCGTGCGTCGATTCTCCGATTGTGATGTTAAGAAGAGCATTATGTCCATAGGTTCCAATGCAGTAGGAAGTGACTGCATCAGTCGTAAGATGATTCTGCCCATCCTAGATGAAATTCTCCCTGTTATCACTCACATCTTTAACCATTCCGTCAACACTGGTGTATTTCCCACGGCTTGGAAAAATGCCCAGATTACGCCTCTTCCTAAAAAATCCAACCCTTCTTCCTTTTCTGAATACAGGCCCATATCCATTTTACCTTTCCTTTCTAAAGCCCTCGAACGCCTTTTGCACAACCAGCTGTCCATTTTCCTGCACAAGAATAAACTTCTAAACCCTTTTCAATCAGGTTTCCGTCCAGGTCACAGCACTACCACGGCATTGGTTCACATTACAGATGACATTAGACTGGGCATGGAGGAAGGGAAACTAACAGTTCTCTCCCTACTTGATTTTAGTAATGCATTCAATACTGTCGACTTTGATATTTTGCTTGGCATACTGCGCTCTATTAACATATCTCCAACGGTGATTGACTGGTTTCGTAGTTACCTGATTGGACGCCGTCAACGTGTCTGCATTGAGGATTCTTTTTCCTCCTGGTGCGACAGTTGTGCTGGCGTACCACAGGGTGGCGTCTTATCTCCTTTACTATTTGCCATATTTATTAATTCTGTCTCCAATAAACTTCTTTCATCTTACCACCTTTATGCAGATGACTTGCAAATTTATTCCCAAGCTTCTCTGAATAATTTGGCTTCGGCAGTTGATAATATAAACTCAGATTTAGCTTTAATCGCCGATTGGAGTGTGTCTTATGGTTTAAAAATAAATCCTTTAAAAACACAGGCAATTATGGTGGGTGGCCCTAGTTTGGCTTCTAAAATACAATGGTCGCAATTACCACCTATTACATTCGGCGGTGTGGCATTATCATACAGTGACTGTGTTAAAAATCTGGGAGTGCTTCTTGACAAGACTCTCTCCTGGGCACCACACATTCAGGAAGTAAGTCGTAAACTGTTTGCTTCGGCGGCGTCCTTAAGGAGACTTAGGAACTTTTTACCTACAGATACTAAAATCGCGCTAGCACAGTCTCTCCTCTTACCAATTTTAGATTATGCCGACGTCAGCTATCTTGATCTCACTGAAGAGCAATTAAATAAACTTGAGCGACTTCAGAACTTCGCAATAAGATTCATATTTGGATTACGTAAATATGATCATGTATCAAAATATCGTCAAGAGCTCAAATGGTTGCCTATTCGACTTCGCCGGAATGCTCACATAGTTTCTTTGCTATATAATGTCCTATATAACCCTGCTTCTCCTGCTTATCTTAAAAAGCGTTTCAAATTTCTTTCTGACACCCACTCCCGTCTTTTGAGATCATCGGACAACCCGAGACTCGCGATGCCTATGCATTCCTCTAGAGTGTTTGACAGGTCCTTTACTGTACACGCCGCTCGTCTGTGGAACGAGTTGCCGGCTGCTGCGAGGCGTGCTCAGTCATTAAATGTTTTTAAAAATTTAGTTACAGAATACTATCACTCTCGTGCTGTACATCCAAATAATATTTATTGTAGATAATAATATTAAATTACTATAAACTATATATATTTTTTTTTGTTTTGTGTGTGTGTGTGTGTGTGTGTGTGTGTGTGTGTGTGTGCGCGTATGCGTGTGTGTGTGTGTGTGTGAATTAATTGCATAATATATTCATATTTATAAAGTATACTTTTGCTCAAATGCACTGCCCTAAATTATTCTCCCTATCTAATTTTCTTTTTGCGGTTGCCTGGAAGAGATCGCTTTTAAGCGATAAGGCCGCCATTTGCTTCGCTCTTGATCTTTGTGATTCTTGTATGTTCTATTGTTGTGCAATGAAGTTTATTATTATTATTATTATTATTATTGTCTGTCTGTAATAATTTGTAGGCAACCAGCACATTTCAGTTTTCCGGAAGCCATCGTGTTTTTAAATTATCTGATAAAATCGTTGATATTGTGCAAATTAAATTTTTTTTGTAATAAAAATGAAGAAAAACTAAAATTCTTCCATAAAATAAAAAAAAGGTTTTTTAGTCGGTTTCGAACTGTGGATTGTAATAATAACAAATCGGAATAACGCAGCCTTTACGCTGTACAGCAACAATTACACGTAACGAAATAGAGATACAGTGTCGTCCTTTTGTATTGTCGTGTCGAGGTTAACGGCCGAGTGACTGTTTCAAGGTCAAAACACAGCTAATTCAAACATGATTAAAACGGTAGAAACTGTCAGTTGATGGATTAAAATTGCTGTTTGTATCATAAACACTTTACACACAAAACTGATTTTCGCACCAATATATAGCTTACAGTATGACGAAAAAACTGATAAATAATATGATGAGCAATTATGATATTTGCTATTTATTTTGACTATAATAATGCGGAGTCAACACAAACACGTCAGAACACAGTTAAGCGCCCCGCGCACCTCCGTTACGTTGGATGTGCTTCACCGGTATGGGGTTCGATTTACAAAATTCAAGATGGCGGCTTAAGCTGCAACCATTTTATCTAAAAAATTAAACCACGATTTTTGAGGAACTTTTATGTTTGTCATTGATGAAAAAATTATTAAGAAAAGCAAAATAAGCGAGCGAAGTGAGCCATAAATCGTTGCCATTAATAGAGAAATGGTCAATCGGTTAGGTTAGAACTGTAACTAGAACAAAAAGTGAGCAAGGCGAGCCATAGTGACCGTTAAGAGAGATTTGGTTAATTGGTAAGGCTAGAACTGTAACTAAAATAAAGTTCGAGCGAAGCGAGTCATAAAGGACACCACCAATAGAAACCTGATCAATCAGTTAGATTAGAACTGTGAATAAAACAAAAAGCGAGCCATAACAAATTGAGACCTGGTCAATCGGTTAAGGAACCAATATAAAGAGCGAGCGAAGCGAGCC